ATCCATTTCCACAGACCCCAGCACCAACGATGTTTAAAACAGTAAACTACTGCTATAACGAACTCAAAGGGACCACAATATTAGTTCGTCATAACCGTAGTTCGTTACAAGCATATATATAGCATATATACAGCAAATGGCCGGGACAAAAAACAACAGCTCGTTATATCCGTCAGTTCGTTATAAGCGTGTTCGTTATAAACTTAGTTTACTGTATAGAAGGAATTCGCAGAGACCGAGACACCCTTGCGATTTGTTGTTTAGTATGTTGTTTAACGCCGTACACAGCAAAATTCCAGCTATGACGGTGCTCTGTGAATAATCGAGTCTGGACCAGACAATCCAGTGATTTATATCATGAGCATCGATCCACGCAACTGAGATCGATGATATGCATCAACCAAGTCAGCGGGCCTAACCACCCGATCCCGTTAGTCACCTCTTACGACAAGCATAGTCGTCCATTACGACAAGCATGGGTTGCTGAAGACCTATCCTATCCCGGATCTAGCGCGGCATCAATACTACATATAGAGACCGCTGAATTATTGCGGAAATCAAACCTAATAGCAAACTCTATCGCCAGTTGTTCCCATTTTGTGATAATTACTTGTCTTACATCGATTAAACAACACATTCTACCGTGAAATGAAATTGAAAATTGATTTGCCGTCGCGACTACTCACAGCTCGGCAAGCTGTTTCTGTGGTACTGGGGAGTCGGGGACACGCCAGGGTTGTGTTCTTGTGTTCACAGTTTGACATACCATACAAGGAGCTGATATTTTCAGGAATCGTTTATATTTACTGAGACACATATACATTTGAATTTCTGCAAACTAAGCATGAACATCGTAGTTTTGAAGTTTTGGAGATTTATTAACCGGTAGGTTTCATACGCTGTACTTGTACTGCAGAGGACCATTCAAGCGTGAACGTATCTAATGCTGCTTGTCCGAACATTCTTTTACAAACACATGCAAAGGCAAGTCAATTGTTCATTAAAAAAACACGAAGACAGGGCGTCTACCCGGGGAGCGTAAGGTAGGTGGTACGTTAGATTGATAGTTATTGTTGCTATCCTGTCTGGCGCTCGGCATGAAGGGGGAAAATAGGACTGCTCGGCTCGGAGTCAGTATACTGTGTCTGAGTGGGGTATCTGTGTTGAACTGTGGGATGGTATTTCAGTGGGCTGGTACTATAATACCGGCAATAGTCCGGATAAGTGCAGCTGAGCGCACACACACACGCACAGAAAAAAAACACGCGTGCGCACACACACACACGCACGCACGCACGCACGCACACACACTCACACATATATGCACGTCGCGATATAAGTGCGATGACCTTGAACACGAACTTAAATCCCATTTCACCTCATCTTATCCGGATTACCATAGTTTCCGAGAGTGTTGCTACTGGGACCGACGAAATGTATCTGGGGTTAACATCATCAACGAATAGAATAAACGACAGTAAAACCACGGGACTTATATTGGACTGTATAATCTTCGTCAAAGTTGTCTGATCTAATTAATAAAATTCATAAACCACGAAAGTAACTATGGTTATGCTCTTGAGAATCCTACTGTGGACGGTTAGAATAAAACCTCCCCTTGTCTTTAACACTATAGATGTGTACTGGTGTTTAGAGACAGTGAGTGAGTGAGTGAGTGGGTGAATATGGTTTTACGCCGCTTTTTAGCAATATTCCAGCAATATCACGGCGGGGGACACCAGAAATGGGCTTCACACATTGTACCCATGTCGGGAATCGAACCCGGGTGTTCGGCGTGACGAGCGAACGCTTTAACCACAAGGCTACCCGACCGCCCCTGTTTAGGGACAGGCTTCTAAGAGTTTTAAATCACATGTGTTGCATTTAAGTAAATAAGACCATGTTATATATATATATTAACTACGGTTAAAACGAACTCAAAGGGACACCAAATTTTAGTTCGTTAAAATCGTAGTTCGTTATAGGCATGTTTGTTATAAACGTAGTCCTGGGCTGACCTAGATATTTACAGGCCGTTATGTAATAATTGTCAGTGAATGTTGCGTAAAACAACATTGACACATCAATTAGGAGTGATCGATGCTGATTTTCTTAACCGATTTCGGGAAACAAAGTATCTGTCATGAGCGACTCAAGGGCGGACAACTCTATATTATCGCGGTATGGCTATTTTGTGGTTTACGATACGCGTGAATTACTTCCTGTTTTGGATTACGCATAATGAGTATGCATACGACCTAGGCTGGATCAAGGGACTTCGTCCAAACAAATGGGTTCTTTTCTAATCAATTTCGAATGGAGGTAGGGATAACTCAAAAACATTCCAGAAACAATCATAAAAATAGTTAACGTGTATACTTACTAGTAGCCGTGACATACCGCGAGTCCTGTATTCGATCAAGCGATGAAATGTCGTGCTTAGATTTGCGTAAGTAAACCGTCGACGGGTTGTGTGGATTACGAGATTTACCGATACCGCGATAATATGGAGCCTGCGGTAATATAGCGTCACACAATACCCACAGACACACCAGGGGAAATATAACAAATGTAAATAACAATAGATCGAGGTTGAGGTTGAGGTGAGGTGAAATTGGGTTTAACCTCGCGTCCAAGATAATTGCACTTTTATAGCGACGTGCATGCACGTGTGTGTGGGTGTGTGGGTGTGGCTGCTTGTACTCGTCTGGACTAATGCCGATTTATAGTGCTAGCTCACTGAGATACCACGTCGCAGTTTAACATGAATACCCCATTCAGACACAGTATACTGACTCCGAGCCGACTAGTTCTTGTTTTAGCCCTTTAATGCCGAGCGCCAGACAGGGTAACAACAAGTACCATCTTTAAACGTCTTTTGCTATGACGTGTCCGGGGATCGAACCCCGAACCTTCCGCTCTCCGGGCGGACGCTCTACCACTAGACCACGGAGCGGTAACGTGTAGATAATGCCTTGTTAGTCAATTGATATCACACACCTATTTCTGACAGATGTATGTCTGAACATGTATAAAAAAAATTAAAATCCTACCTCGGTGTACGTTAGGACCACAAACCCAGTGTACAATGTGTCCAAAACGGGATTGTCGAAAAGGTTGCGTTCTTTACTAAAGGAAATGTAGAACATGTATTGCAAAAAGTTTTGAGAGGGAGAAGAGAGAGGTTCAGTCCAGTGGTATTAGAGGGGTAGACGGACGGACGACATGACCTGAGCTCACCCTGACTGTGTCAAAATTAGCTAATTTTATATCAATATCGGTAGCAACACTCCAATAGAAGAAAACATGTAAAATATTAACATATGTGAGTTTACCTTCCACTGTGATACATATATACACGCATTTCGAGGAAATTGTTATACACCGATCCAGCCTTCTGATAAAACTCATATCGTGTTCTGTGTTCGTATACAGCCCTAATGTCGGTTATTTCCCGCCAATGTTCCTCAAGGGAGCTAACTCCTACTCAGGTTTCAATGTGTTCGATTCCGAATTCAATTAAGCGCTGTCAAAAATGCAGGTGAAGTAACCCTCAGAATACTGCACATGTATTTTCTAAAGAAATCAGTCAAAACGAGTATTTGCAGCTGGTAACTAGTTAATGTTATCGTTTACCTCCACTGGATCCACCCGGGAAGGGCCACCAGCTTTCTCAATGGCGGAAATAATAGAAATCATCATCTTCTTCTTGTTGGTCGACTGTCGGCAGATCGCCTGCTGCACCAGTGGTGACATCTTCATAATCTTCATCATCATTATCATCATCGTCGTCGTCGTAATCTTCATCATCATCATCATCTTCATCATCATCACCTTCATAGTCATCATCATCATCATAATCTCCAACATCCGGGTCGACTTTGGAGAAGTGACTGACATCAGCATTGGCATAGGTATTATCATTAAGTTCATCAATGCCTACTTCCTGTGGGAAGATTGTCAGAAGACCGCCGGATGCAGTTGTGACAACAATATATTCACCTTCATGACCATCGCCATATACATAATGACTTGTATTCTTTAGGTCAAAAACGACCTAACGGGACTCAAACCAAAAAAATACGAGAATATATTCTTTACTAAGAAAGTGTTATCCTAAATATAACATTTGTTACAATTGAATTCTTTATTCAGCATACAGCATACATTTATAACAATTACACAACAATAAATAACACGATCCCAGTGGCGTGTACGTGCTACATATAGAAGACCGGTGTGGATAATGGTGAGGGATTTTGTATATGACACTTTGTGACTCACACAAAATAGTAGGAAAGCCCAAAGTGACGTTTACTATTTCGGTACAACCCAAGAAGCCGGGCTTTGTTCATGATCATAGCATGGCATACAAGCAAGGTAGACAACTCTTTAGAATGCAGCATTCACACCATTGGTCCACCAGGACATCAACACATTGGCTGGGTGGTCACGGGCGTGCATACTTTACGTCCAGTCAAACAGATATGATATTCGATGGCGTTATTTTTCACACGACACCTCTGACAAACCTCCGAAAATAATGTATTTAAACTATATCATGGACCTGAATAAATATTTAGGTCCGTGACCATATTAAGCATTAATTATAGTATCTCATTTCCCGGCAGTTTGACGAAGCCCCCTGGACACATCGGATAACTTGGAACGGTAATGATGTTCTAATAATAGAACAAATTTATGACGTATCCACAAATACCCTCCTCCTTTATAACCTGTCCACATGTATCTTTTGTTTTTTTAAAAATGCTGGGATCAGACTCGTGTTACATTATGTAGATACTGAATTAACGTCCGGGGTAGAATAGGTTTTCAGCAACCCATGCTAGCCGTAAGAGACGACTAACGGGATCGGGTTGTCAGGGTCGCTGACTTGATTGATGCATGTCACCGTATCCCAGTTGCGTAGATGGATGCTCATGATGTAAATCACTGGATTGTCTGGTCCAGATTCGATTATTTACAGATCGTCATATAGCTGGAATATTGCTGAGTGCTGCGTTAAACAACAAACAAAACAAAACTGAATTAACCTTTGTACAATTTTCTACAATTTCTAAAATCAAACGATTAAATTATTAGAAATTATTCTAATGTAATTAATTGTTAGGTCATCACCTTTAGGTAAGGGATTTTAATAACAATCTACACAAGTTTTTTTGTGGCCTTAACGTTTTTTCAGTTTTCCCTGTGGAGGTCTTCAGGCACATAATGTCTTTGTCTGTAGGTGGGCGCGCTGATCCACTGGTTCGCAATCCACTTCTCGCCCCTTATGACGTCACATCCGCCATGCAGAGAAAACGGGTCGTGTTCCCCAATCCAGCCCGTCTACAACGTACAATAAGTATATGAACCAGTGTACACAGGTACGGAAGCTCACCTTTCCTAGATTGAGTTTAAAAATCGTTTAAGCGTTTTGGAATATTAAATCCCTGTGAATCTTATCCAGACGCAAGTTAAAGTTTAAAAATATATTTTCGGAAATCCCTGAACATGCTGTCGTTTTTACTCATAAGGACTGCTTATTATTAAGTCATTTTTCGTTCATAAATTCCTAGTATCTGTTACTTATCAAACCCTCGCCAGCACAACAGTACGACATCAGACATGTTCAGCCCGAGTATCTGTATCAAATACAGTAAACTACAGTTATAACGAACTCATCTGATTTTAGTTCGTTATAACCGTAATTCGTTATAAGCATATATACAGCATAACTACAGCAAATAGTCGGGACTAAAAAGTTAGTTCGTTATATCCGTCAGTTCGTTATAAGCGTGTTCGTTATAAGCGTAGTTTACTGTAGTTCAATTCATGACACAAGAAAAAAGTGTTAAAGTCAGCACACGTGAAGTGAAAGGTTACCATATATGTGTCGAACACCCTGGTGCCATCTCTACCTGGACAACATCATTGTGATGGATGCCATTGCCATAAACATGGTCTAGTGGATACTTCGTCAGCCTGGAGCGCGGAAGGTCGGGGGTTCCATCCCCGGCCGAGTTATAGCAAAAGACGTTAAAATGCGTTCGGCATATAGGGTATAAAACAAGACCTGGCCGGCTCGGACTCAGTACACTGAGTGGTGTAAACTTTGGCATAGTATCTCAGTGGTCTAGCACTATAAAATCGGCATTAGTCTGTACACACACACGCACATATACACACACAACTCACTCACTCATTTAAAACGTAGGAGTGCATACGATCCAACTCATCGCCCTATTCCACGGCTTCTATATACCCTACTCCAAGGGGTAGATATACACTTGCTAGATATACATTTACTCCAAGACTGCTACATATAGACTCACTCCAAGGCTACTACATATAGACGTACTCCAAGACTGCCAAATGATATAGACTTTGTCCAAGACTGCCAAATGGTATCGACTTCCTGCAAGACTGCTATATGATCTAGACTTACTCAAAGACTGATATATGATCTAGACTTACTCCGAGACTGATATATGATCTAGACTTACTCCAAGACTGATATATGATCTAGACTTACTCAAAGACTGATATATGATCTAGACTTACTCCAAGACTGATATATGATCTAGACTTACTCTAAGACTGATATATGATCTAGACTTACTCCAAGACTGATATATGATCTAGACTTACTCCAAGACTTCTATGTGATATAGACTTACTCCAAGACTACGTTAGCTACTCACATCTTCATCAACATAGTTGTTGTACCAGAACACAGCTGTTCCTTTCTTGGGTTTCACCACAACCGACGCCTTGTAACAGTTGAAACTCAAATTTTCATTCTCAGCCTGTTGAGAAAGACAAAATATCCCATATGATATTCAGCTGAGACAAATCTTCCACTTATGTCACACAATACAATCTATTATCCTTAAACACAAGTCAGCTATGGTTCGTCTCCACGGAAATGTTTATAGTGAATCTTTAAAATGTTGAAACATTATGGGTGAGGGGGTTGGGGGTGGGGAGAGGGGGTGCTGTTACCGATATATCTGGGTCTGTGAGGTCGGCGACAGGAAAGGCCGTTTCCCCTCCTTCTTCAACGTCATTGAGATACATCATGACAGTCGCGAACCTGTTGACAAGCGTCAGAAGTAATACACTGTTTGATCTGATTCACGACACTGAGTGGACCATTGGCGGTGTTGGGGAATTGAGTTACCATTTGAAATTCTTGTATTCGACTTTAAAAGCTTGCCATTTACAATGACTCGCGTCTTAAAATGTTTATATCACATAACAACATTCATCTTTACAGGCTTCGTTAATCTCATTAAAATCAGATCTAAGATCTCGCTGCCGCTAAACAAAGATCTCAGGACATCCCATTACGGGTCACGTCAGAACGACCTTTCGTGAATTTTGACCGACCACTGAAATTACTAACAAGAAGTCGACATCAGCCAATTACATCAGCCAATTTTTCCCGAAAAAAGAGGAAAAGTCTAGGGGGTCTGGGGGCATGCCCCCCCCCCCCCCCAGAAATTTTTAAAACATTTGATTGCATTTTAGGCAATTTCGTGCAGTTTGTACCATTCACACCAAGAAATGTAATGAGTCAATGGCAAAAGTCAATAAGCCAAATAAACAAGATGGCAGATGCAGTAAAATTTCGAAGTTAAATCAGTACTTTTAAAAAATCGGGCATAGCTTTCGCGCACCTGGCTACCCGCCAGGTCTGGGAGCAATACTGCCATAAACTTCAACCCCCATCCCCCAGACACAAGGACAACTATCACAAGCGTGCAATGTCTGACCCTTTCCCCATGTTGAAGCATATTGAAAAAAACTTACCTTGTACTTACCTTTTGATGAAAAAAACAAAACTCCATTGCAAACATAAGACATTAATACAACATATATCCCCATGTTATGGGGTTTTGGACGCTGAAGAAACATTCATAGTTTTCTCGCTAATCACATGAACAACTGTAAAACATCTCATTCACTTACAGGCTAAAAGACAACTTTATCTTAAAAACAAGCCATCATCTGTCTCTGAGTATTTACAATTTCTGTGTTATGCCACACCCCACGTTATAATGCAAGTATTCGTGATAGAAAACGTATGATGTCCGAAAACCTATGCTGGTGAAAGCTCTGATCGAAAACAGGACAATCCGCGACAGGTGTCATATTTTTCCGAGTGTTTTCTTTAAAAAAATTATTAATTTTTTACGCGGAAGATGATTTTTTTCCGAGGACTACTGTTTTAAAAAACGCGATTTTCCGCGTTTCCGCGGAGATTTCACATCCCTGCAATTAGAAAGCAGCTTTCTCGAACCTTATGGCACTCGCTTCAACCTCGCTTTCAGAATACGCTTGAAAAATATGTTGACACTGTTCTCGATTAAAATTTTGAAAACTGAACAAACGAACATTCCGGATGGTTGCATATATGGTTGCGATTGTATGGTAGTGCTTTCCACGTTCTATGCAACGCCTCCTCCGTTCAAATGTTTCCCACGGAAGTGAGAGATAGACGATAATTTTGACGGAATCAGTCGTACGGGCCATAACAGTCGTTCGGAATTCCCCGTTTTCGAGGTTGCATGATTAGAAAACACTTTCCAACTGTCACTTTCATGATCTGGTAAGCGCCGCTTTGATTGGTCGGATGAAAGGTCGTTCTGGCGTGACCCGTAATGGGATGTCCTCAGATCTTTGTTCAGCGATAGCGAGAACTAAGATCAGATTTTAATGAGATTGGGAATTTCAAACCTTTTTTATTTTAATATCAATACAAATTACTGACGTGCTGGATTTATACTGCGGGACCGAGAAACATTTCCTTGTTTACCCTAATATAATACGGGATCGTAGGCGTATACATTCATAAATTATACATGACAACGCCAGTTTACATGTTGAATGTGTCAGTTGAAGACGTCATCATACACTGTACACTGACGACCCTCCTACACGTGATGTTGAAGCGCACCTGCAGAAAATACACCTGCTCCCGACACGCGGAGGCTCGATCTGGAAGCAGCAAGGTTTCACTTCCGGGTCATCTAGCCTCCAATCAGAATCGGTGTCGAAATGGGCATGGTAGTGGCCCTGAGTACCATAGTGGGCAACCTGAAAAATAGAAGCGACTAAAAAATATTTTCCATGATCATAAGAAATATGTGTTAAAAGCAGAGTCGGTTGTACGATCCCAACTGCATGATGGGTACGTATTTATATAGCACTATCAAGTGATGATGGTACCAGGTGTTCGCGAAAAGGTGAACGTATCCCGCCCCACAGGTGGCACCCGTCACAAACACATGTAAAGGCAAGTCAATTGTTCACCTGAAAAATATGGGAACATATGCCACAAGACAAAATAAGAATTGCTTCGGACATCATTTTTATCCCTTTTGCGTCAAATTTGGAAATGTCCTCCAAATGTCTACCATAAAACATTTTGAAAGTTTTCCTAGTCGTCTAAGGCGCCGCGATTCGCTGTGCAGAGTTGCGTCCCTTGGGCAGGATTACAACAATCCTCATCAAACACTTCTGAGCAAGAGTCGTATGACGCTCTTTAAAATCTTGGTAGAAAGAGCATGCTCGATTGTACATCAAGGGTTTTGAAATGTAGACACAGAAGGTTGGAACTGCAGGAATATTGCTAGACATAAAGGGAAAGTTGACTGTTGGATAGTTGAAGTTATCCCTCTTGTTATACAAAATATTCATTTAGAAAATCAAATAAAATGGATGCTCCGTAGCTAGAGTTACCTCCCCTAAATCCTCCACAGTTGTGCACTGAACCCAGGAAATCGCTTCGACATCATGTCGAATTATGCAAGGAAATCTGCGTTGTTAGAGGGATGAGGTACTCGCAATAATATAACACCACTTTTACAATGAAACTGCAGAAGCTAACACGCAACAGTAGTTGCGTACCTTTGGCGTGCCAGATACCTTTGCATTTGAATCCTATATTTGATATAATTATGTTTCTTTGTTCATAAGTGAGTGAGTGAGTTGGGTTTAACGCCGCTTTTAACATTATTCCAGTTATATCACGGCGTGTCAGCTTGATGTGGGAGGAAAGCCCGAAGTGATGCAGGTCTCAGACGTTTACCACTTCGGTGAAATCCACGAGCTCGGGTATGGTTGGTGCTGACAAACCTAGAAACATAATTGGGGCGAACCGGGATTCGAACCCACAATCATAGGTTTCTGGCGTGCCCAAGGGACGCAACTCTGCACAGCGAATCGCGGCGACTTAGACGACTAGGCCACCCGTGCCACCCATGCCACCCCCACCCCCACACCCACCACACACCCCACACCCCATATTTATAAGCGCGAACACCGTGCTCGTTGGTTTTATTTAAAGTGGTAAACGCATAGACCTGCATCGCTTCGAGCTTTCCACCAAGCCATCACGTCGTGATATCAATACTGTTCAAGGGGGCGGTACACCAAACTCACTTACTCACTCTTAGGGTTATCTCCCTTACCTGGAGGTCTTCGCTCTCCTGGATGAGTGTTAAGGGCAGTTCCGTCAGGATGGAAACACTAGAACATAGCATTAACAATTGTGATAAAAATAAAAATTATACTTCAAACATTGGACATTTTTCCATCAGCAGAGTTTCATGTTACAAGATGTGAATATTAAGATGATGACTGTAATATGATCAAGTATGTTGTTCTTCCCCAATTAAGTCAGACATGTATATAATTGATGGTGGGATTAACCGGCAACTATACTCTTTCCTCATTAAAGGGGTCAACGTCCATGTTTGAATTAAGTCGCGGAGTCAAATTTCTTATGGGTATCAATATAACACTTAATGATCCTAAAGTTATTATGTGTATTAACATGCTTCTTGCAACTATATATTCTACATATTACTGACTTAGAATATATTCTCTCATATGAGTGAGTCAGTGAGCTGGACTTAATGCCGCTTTTAACAGTATTCCAGCTATATCATGGCAGGTCAGCTTCATGTGGGAGGAAAGCCCGAAGTGATGCAGGCCCAGACGTTAACCACTTCGGTGAAACCCATAAACACGGGTATGGTGCTGACAAACCTAGAAACATAATCGGGGCGAACCGGGATTCGAATCGATGTACAATCAAAGGTTTATGGCATGCCCAAGGGATGTAACTCTGCACAGCAAATCGCGGCGCCTCAGACTTCTGGGCCACCCGTGCCCTTCTCCCGTATGAAGGTTCCTAGTCTATATATTTATGACACATTCTCCCATATGAGTATATATTCTCCCATATCTCTCCATGAAGGTATTTACCCTATATCATCCTGATGTATATTGCATTTTCCTCTGTGAAGGTAAGGCATTCAATACATTTATGGTACATACTACCATATGGTGGTACATATTATATATATTTATGATATACAACACATTCTTCCATATGAAGATAGTTATTCTATGTATTTTTGACACATTCTTCCATATGAAAACACTTCTGCTTTAAAATCCTGATGTATACTACATTCTCAAACATGGAGGTACTTATTCTTTATATTTATGGTACATGCTACCTTAATATCCAATGCAACGGTGCACATTGCGCCAAACCAACTCACTCACTCACCCATCCTAAGTTAATGTTATTGAGGGGAGTATTGACTGTTGTTACCGTTCCTCAATGGCAGCGAGAAGCGGATCTCCGCGCCGATTTAGAAATGTCGTCTGCCCAGTCCGATCTCGACTGCTCACGTCCTGGAGGTCGTCAGTGTGGACAATACTTTCCTCCCAGCCCGCTGTCGTGGCGTCTTCCAGTCCCTGCTCTTGTGCTAGTCTGATGATATGGTCACATTCGTCTGGAGCCAGAAAACCCGGAATCTCTGAAATATGGTAAACCTGAATCCTGCACCTGGCCATGGCCGCTCTTTTGGACAATGCAGTCAGTTTGTTAAACAGGAATGGACTCATTTAGAGTCAGTGAGTTTGTTTTTACGCCGCTTTGAACAGTATTCCCGTAATATCATGGCGTGTGAGCTTAATGTGGTAGGATAGCCCAAAATGAAACTGGTCTCAGACGTTTACCACATTGGTGAAATACACAGTCAAGCACAGGTATGTTGCTGACAAGCCTAGAAACAAAACCGGGGCGAACCGATTCGAACCCACAATCATAGGTTATGGCGTGCCCTAGGAACGCAAATGGGCCACACGTGCTCTCACCTCATTTGGAATACACGTGTCCAAAAGGAATTATTATCAGATTATACCGGATTAATATAGCGTGTCGCAAAGTCGTTAATAGTTGTAGGTAAACCATAAACTTATTTTTGAGTTGGCAATACCCTTCATATTTGTTAGCATACCTAGAGCCGATAGTATTTATGATTACAGGAGAAGGTAAATCTGCTCTTTCTTAAATCCTCACCTGACGCCCTTGGATGATTGGAGGTTAATTGTCATGGTTTGTTTCTGAAATACCTGTCATGCCCTCACGTGTATTACCTATATTGCTGTACAATATTGCTGAGTGTGGCGTTAAACAACAAACAAAACAACCTAAGTACAATATGTAGCTCACCAAATAAGGGCGGGTTCATGGCCAAAGTGATCCTACGATGAGTGCGAGTCTTGGTCAGGTTGAGTACTTTTACCGCCCCATACTGTAACAATCACATAAACAGACCTTCAATATATCGTAGAGAGTCAACCTTTCTGAGTTTTCGAGCAAAAAATAATACATCCACACTTAAACTGCTAGACAAAATAAGTCTACATACACCCATCCTTGATTGTGGCTAAAACTGAACCAAACAAGAAATGGTTATTCTTAAAGTTGGTTGGTTGGTGTGTTGTTTAACGCCGTACCAAGCAATATTCCACCTATATGACGGCGGTCTGTAAATAGTCTGGACCAGATAATCCAGTGGTTGATATCATTGCCATCAACGCAATTGAGATCGATGACATACATCAACTAAGTCAGCGAGCCTGACCACCCGATCCCGTTAGTCGCCTCTTACGACAGGCACAGTCGTCTTTTACGGCAAGTATGGGTTGTTGAAGACCTATTCTACCCCGGATCTTCACAGGTCTTATTTTTAAAGTGTACACGTTCATCAATATATTGTTCATCGATATATTGTTCATCGATATATCGCTTTTTTCCTGGTGGGTCACATATGTGGTCCAAGTACTGACGAACCAAGCTTGTATGATAAACTAGATATGCTGATACGCATCCTAAACAGTGATCACGTTGTGGTATGTGGAGATCGGAATGTGCTTCAGAATTATTTTATTGATATTTATATCTATAAAAAGAACAATAATCAAAAGGAAAGGGAGATAAGAATGCAGTTGAAAGATAGATCTAGTAGATACACGGGGGGATATATGACAGACCGTAAACACGCTTTACGTCACATCGTGAACTCAAGTGAATATGATAAGTACCGCATAGGTGACTACCAGTTTAACATTCAACAAATCACCAACTGGATGTGCGATAGGAGCCAAGTGTACTTCACACGTTGAGTGAGTGTGTTGACATTCGTCACATGACAAATATTTCAGAGTATCACCTAATGACGTAGTTTAAAAAAAAAAACAGCCAACAGATTAAAAGCCATCGAGATTCACGGCCTCGTCATCATCAGCGCCACCATCATCGTCATTGTTATTAGCAATGGAACGTACCTCTTGAGCGTCAACAGTGGAGAGACCCCCGACTGCAGCAATGGCGGACGTAGCAGAAGGCCGGATCATTGGGGCGGGACATTGCTGCTGTTGATGGTGCTGCTGCTGTTGATGTTGCTGCTGATGCTGGCTGTAAAGAGGTTCAGTACCCCCATGCGTCTCACACGTGTACATGGGTACGTGATGCAGCAACACCCACGTCGTCACGAACACCATCAACATCGTGTGCCAACATTTACGCCATCAAACCCTTGACTGGAAATGAATTTGAAATTGTCGAATATCATAGTTCATTTTATTTTACCTATGTTGGTTAATTCGATGCAACTTCTTACTCTGACTCAACTTAAGTCCAACAAAAACTGAGCATGAGAAGCCACATCCACTTTCAATCCTGATATTTCAGTCCTTTTCCATACTCTATGTGTTATACAAAGGTGGACGTTTCATAAATAAGTTTAATTCCCGTATCGCAATGTCTTGAATAGCATGGCTTCTAAAGAACCCTACCTGAATCTTACTCCAATTGTCTGTCCTCCGGTAGATGTGGGTGTGTAGAAACCAATGCATTTATATCCTCGACTTCGGGCAAGTATCGACTGAGCTCGGCCTGAGCTTCTGTGTGAATACCTTAAGGAACAGCTTGTTGCATTGTCAGGCAGCTCACGGCGTGCTTGTCGTCAGCTGGGGGCACACATAGATGTGTATAAAGGGAGTATGACACACAATCACTGGTTTGAAATGTCCATTATTTTGAAATCATCGTCGAAAGAGCTTGCTCGATTGTACCCCAAAAGTTGTGGAGCTGCTGGAATATTGCCGGCATGAGGAGAAAGGTGATCATAGAAAGTTGAAGTCATCCCTCTTGACTTACAGTCTTGTGGGAAGTGTTTTGGTATATCTGAATCTCAATGCATAGATCTAAATATGACACAGATGAAGCGGTTTCACTGATTTCTTTTATTTCTAGTTAAGATGGGTGAATCAGAGGAAGGAAAGTGACTATTATTGAAAGAGTGAGTTAAAATTTAATAAATCAGATCATCGATATAGCTGAAGCTTAACTTAATCTTCTTGGCCAAATTCCCTTGTTATGATTTTGCTTACCCGAGAGAAAATTTCGCGTGTGGCGTAGGGATGGTGGTGTATAAAGTTGAAAAATCAAACGTTTGACTTATATTGAATTTGGTTCTCTTCTGAGATGGCAAACAATCAAGCAAAGGCTTTGAGGGTTTTGTTTATAATCCATATGATAGTTATCCCACTTGTCTCAAAATACTTTCTATAATTATACAAAACCTTTCCTTGATTGTATTAGGGATTGTGGTTAATGAAACAGGAATTTCGTGGTACGGTTTCTCAATTTCATTAAAATCAGATCTTAGTTCTCGCTATAGCTAAACAAAGATCTGAGGACATCCCATTACGGGTCACGTCAGACCGACCTTGCGCGAATTTTGACCGACCAATGGAAGGACTGACAAGAAGTCGACATTAGCCAATCAGAAGGCAGATTTCTAGTGCTTTACGGCACTAATTTCAAATTGGCAACTGCGCTTCGAAACATATTTTGACAAATTCTCGATTACAAATTTGAAACCTGAACAAAAGAACATTCTGGAATGGCAAATATATGGTCTAGATTGTATGGATTCAGTCGTTAAACCCGTAACTATCGTTCGGAATACCCCGTCTTAAAGTTTTCAAGATTGCATGATTAGAAATCACATTCCGACTGTCACTTTCATGATCTGGTAAGCGACTCTCTGATTGGTCGGATGAAAAGTCGTTCTGACGTGACCCCTAATGGGATGTCCTCAGATCTTTGTTTAACGGTAGCGAGAACTAAAATCTGATTTTAATGAGATTGTACAGACTCTCGCAATATATCTCTGGGATATACTTCGGCATCGTCATGGAGCTTTGGACTCCAGCACCAAAGATGACAGACCGGGTTTATTCCAATTCTGTTTCCGCTTTTTCAGTTTGTGTATTCTACCACTGACAACACAAACGATACCATGTGGTTGTGCATGAAGTGAATATGGTTGGATAGACTACGTACACCTACATACAAATTGAAAGGGTGGGAAATAGTATTCCGAGGTTTGGTAGTTTTGCTGAAAATGCTAAAGACGGACATAATTTCAATAAATGAAAGCGACAAAACCTTTCCACAAGCATACGAAATATGCATTGTACTAACTCTCCCGCATAAACTCAAACCTATCTGGTAGATATCTATGTCAATCCAAAGTAGTATAACTTCCATTAGACATTAAACATACTTCATTCATTTCAATTTAAAACTACAGCTATTTAACAAATAATTGGATATTGATACGTAAACTACATAAAACAACCCCAAACAGTATAGGTCGTGGATGAATTGATCGACGGTTGCTTTTTCATCATATAGTTTTAGTGGAAAGTTAAATTTCGGACTTTAGACCTCGTGACCAAAAGGAATACCTCACAACCAAATGGGCCTCCTGACATGCTGCTCCGTTCGTCTATGAACAGGCAGCACACACCCCACAGACACAAGACACTCATAAGACACAAAGCAACCCTCAGACTCAAAGCAACCTTCAGACTCAAAGCAACCCTCAGACACAAAGACACCCCTCAGACAAAGGACACCCCTTAGACACAAGTCACCCCTCAGACAGAAAACAACCACAGCCCTCAGACACAAAGACACCCTCAGACACAAGACACCCCTTAGACACAAGTCACCCCTCAGACAGAAAACAACCACAGCCCTCAGACACAAAGACACCCTTAGACACAAGTCACCCCTCAGACAGAAAACAACCACAGCCCTCAGACACAAAGACACCCTCAGACACAAGACACCCCTCAGACACAAGACACCCCTCAGACACAAGACACCCCTCAGTCACAGTCCACACCTCAAACACAAGACACCCCTCAGACACAAGACACCCCTCAGACACAAGACACCCCTCAGACACAAGACACCCCTCAGACACAAGACACCCCTCAGACAGAAAACAACCACAGCCCTCAGACACAAAGACACCCTCAGACACAAGACACCCTCAGACACAAGACACCCCTCAAACATAAGACACCCCTCAGACACAAAAGGCCCCTCAGGCACAAGACACCCATCAGTCACAAGACACCCCTCAGACACAAGACACCCCTCAGACACAAGACACCCCTCAGGCACAAGACACCCCTCAGGCACAAGACACCCCTCAGACAAAGGACACCCCTTAGACACAAGTCACCCCTCAGACAGAAAACAACCACAGCCCTCAGACACAAAGACACCCTCAGACACAAGACACCCCTCAGACACAAGACACCCCTCAGACAAAGGACACCCCTTAGACACAAGTCACCCCTCAGACAGAAAACAACCACAGCCCTCAGACACAAAGACACCCTCAGACACAAGACACCCCTCAGACACAAGACACCCCTCAGTCACAGTCCACACCTCAAACACAAGACACCCCTCAGACACAAGACACCCCTCAGACACAAGACACCCCTCAGACACAAGACACCCCTCAGACACAAGACACCCCTCAGACAGAAAACAACCACAGCCCTCAGACACAAAGACACCCTCAGACACAAGACACCCTCAGACACAAGACACCCCTCAAACATAAGACACCCCTCAGACACAAAAGGCCCCTCAGGCACAAGACACCCATCAGTCACAAGACACCCCTCAGACACAAGACACCCCTCAGACACAAGACACCCCTCAGGCACAAGACACCCCTCAGACACAAGACACCCCTCAGACACAAGACACCCCTCAGGCACAAGACACCCCTCAGGCACAAGACACCCCTCAGACACAAGACACCCCTCAGACACAAGACACCCCTCAGACACAAGACACCCTCAGGCACAAGACACCCCTCAGACACAAGACACCCCTCAGACACAAGACACCCGTCAGACACAAGACACCCCTCAGACACAAGACACCCCTCAGACACAAGACACCCCTCAGGCACAAGACACCCCTCAGTCACAAGACACCCCTCAGACACAAGACACCCCTCAGACACAAGGCACCCCTCAGGCACAAGACACCCCTCAGACACAAGACACCCCTCAGACACAAGACACCCATCAGACACAAGACACCCCTCAGACACAAGACACCCCTCAGACACAAGACACCCCTCAAACAAAAGACACCCCTCGGACACAAAACACCCCTCAAACACAAGACACCCCTCAGACACAAGACATCCCTCAGACACAAGCCACCCCTCAGACACAAAACACCCCTCAAACACAAGACACCCCTCAAACAAAAGACGCTCATCAGGCACAAGATACCCCTCAAACACAAGACACCCATCAAACACAAACCACGAATCAGACACAACGAGACGCCTCTCAGACACAAGACACCAATCAGACACAAGTTACCCCTAAGAAAAAAGACACCCCTCAGACACAAACAACCCCAAACACACAAGCCATCCCTCAGACACAAAACATCCCTCAGACACAAACCACCCCCCAGACACAAGACACCCCTCAGTCACAAGACACCCCTCAGTCAAAAGCCACACCTCAAACACAAGACACCTCTCTCACACAAGACACCCCTCAAACACATGACACCCATCAGACACAAACCAACCCTCCGACACAAGACACCCCTCGGACACAAAACACCCCTCAAACACAAGACACCCATCAGAAACAAGACACCCTTCAGACACAAGACACCCCTCAGGCACAAGACACCCCTCAGACACGAAACTCCCCTCAGACACAAGACACCCCTCAGACACAAGTTACCCCTCAGACGCACGTCACCCCTCAGACACAAAACACCCCTCAGACACAAGACACCCCTCAGACACAAGTTACCCCTCAGACACAAAACACCCCTCAGACACAAGTTACCCCTCAGACACAAGTTACCCCACCCTTCTATCTCCATCCTCTCCATGTAAGGTATCAGTCACTCTGGAAACTTGATAATCGTTGGAGTTAATTGACAGTGAGATGAATGCCAACATTCTAAGCTCGCTGTAGTCGCCCGTGTTAACTCTATATTGGCTATCTGTAATTTGTCAACGCCAGAGAATAATCAGTCTCGATTCTCTGCCGGCACAAATTCGATTGGACGTGGACGGCAAAGTATTGATGAAACTTACGTGGTGACACCAGGACACACTTACATAAAGCGATCTTAGCGCCAAGATGACCGTGACTCCCATACTTTAACATTGTGAGTGAGTGAGTGAGTGAGTGAGTATGGTTTTACGCCGCTTTTAGCAATATTCCAGCAATATCACGGCGGGGGACACCAGAAATGGGCTTCACACATTGTACCCATGTCGGGAATCGGACCCGGGTCTTCGGCGTGACGAGCGAACGCTTTAACCACTAGGCTACCCGACCGCCCAACTTTAACATTGGATTACGATAGTCTTGGCGCTGAGATCGCTTTGTGCAAGTGGGCCCAGGTGTAAAACCTTGACTGGGGTCTGTTGCTAGTTATGTCGTCTTAATTAAATGTATTAAATGTGTCATGGCCAGCACATCCACAACGACAAATTAAGTTACCTCAGATCATTAACATTTATTCTGTGACAAGTGGGTGAGTGAGTGAGTGAGGTTTTACGCCGCTTTTAGCAATATTCCAGCAATATAACGGCGGGGGACACCAGAAATGGGCTTCACACATTGTACCCATGTCGGGAATCGAACCCGGGTCTTCGGCGTGACGAGCTAACGCTTTAAACACTAGGCTACCCGACCGCCCTTCTGTGACAAGTCAGCTTCAGATTTGTAACGTTTAAAATACTTGAAATTTGGTGAAAAATATTTTTGCTCTTGCCATCTATGTTTTCGCCGAAACTCTGAAGACAAACACAGCTCTAACAACCAGCTGCGATAACATCTAACTGTGTTCTGCAAAACCCGGATTGGTTTACAGGTTGACCAGAAGATAGTAAAAACACATGTTGAGACAACGGTGGCCTCAAAGACACCCTCTAGCCCTGGGTTTATAGTATTCACTATGTAAGTCATCCCGTATATCTCCAGGGCTAGGTTTACCGGAATCCTAGCCCTAGAGATATAGAGGATGTAAGTAAGTGTATTGCCACACGTGCTTGAAATGATCTATGATTCGCAACATGTAGAGCACCGGTGGGGCAGAATATCTCACCTTATTGCGAAGACCTGGTGTCATGACTATTTGAAAGTGTGTGTGTGTGTGTGAGAGAGAGAGAGAGAGAGAGAGAGAGAGAGAGAGAGAGAGAGAGAGAGAGAGAGAGAGATGTTCCTATGACGAATATCTTGGTTAAGAGGGCAGCAAAACCCACCAGCCATGACAGATTAACTGAAGTAATATGACAAAGATCGGGTGTTCTATAACTCCTTATTCTAATAGCAGGACATATTAACGATAACTGCAAGTAACAGATGTCCACGAGGTGTTTCATCATGCGTCGATACAAGGGCATAATTAAATGCATTGGTCCTTATTAGTATTCGACCGTCTCCGAGGTCTTGCAGTAGAGCGTCCGCCCGGCCGCGTCATACCAAAGACGTGAAAATATGGTACTTGTTGTTACCCTGCCTGGCGCTCGAAATTTAAGGGGATAAAACAAGGGCTGGTCGGCTCGGAGTCGGTGTACTGTGTCTGAGTGGGGTATTCATGTTAAACTGTGGCATGGTATTTCAGTGGGCTAGCACTTTAAAATCGGAATTAGTCCGGACACACACACGCGCACATACGCACGCGCACAAGTGCATGCACGTCGCTATATAAGTACAATAATCTTGGACGCGACGTTAAACCCCATTTCACCTCATCTCACCTTATAAGTGTTTACAATATCTCTCATGACTCACCTGAATGGCTGCTTAGAGAACATCAGAACTGTGTGCGGAATACGGTACAAATGTAACTCAAAAGTGAGCAGGCGACTTTTCTTTGCAGTCTCACATTCCATGCCCTCCCTGGCCAGTCGGACAGTGGACAGCTGGTGACTAATTGTTCCCAGATGGCGGGAAATAGCCTGAGCAGACGATAGAAAAATCTAACATGCAGTGAAAAACTATTTTGTTGGCACTGACATGAAGTATTTAGTAATTTATACAACAAAGCATAAGATGAATACACAATGCTATTTAGAAAGTGGTCAAAGTACCCCAAAAAAGAACTACAATTTAGTGTTATCTCACATATAACATTTGTTACATTTGACCAATTTATAAATGGCATTGTGTATTTATAGCTTTCGGCCTCGCCGTGCCAATTTACACTTATCAGAGGGGTATTCAGAGCTCCAGATAAGCTTTTGGTGTTGTGGGTATTTTACCCATGCATTTTAAAATCATTGGGTATCAGTAATTCTATCTGGGTATTTAAATTTCTGTTACCCACTAGTTTTTACACATGTGGGTATTTAAGTTAAATATTTAAAAACACTATTCATCTAGTCCCTGCAAACTGGTGTCGTGTGGGTTCGAGAGCTTTATAGGACTCAAAAATACCACGATACTTCCTCAAGAAAGTGTGATGGCAAATGATCATGATGTAACTGTCATCGTGGAGTTTGGCAAGGTTGACGGAATGTCCGTTTATAATTTCAAAATAAGTTGCTGATTTGCTAATCGAATACGCAGGGTTACTTTACAACATTTTGATGATTCGCACAAGTTTTATTTTTGGAGCGAATCTGTAATGTTCGTTGCGTATTTGATACACTTGGATCTTATTTTACTGCGTATTTCTGCATTTTTATGCGTATTTTACGCAGATACGCAGCTTATCTGGAGCTCTGTCATTATGTGATCTAGACTAACAGTTGTCGGGCTTTCATTTTTGTGGTTCGAATCCTGGATGGGACTCAACCCCTCAAAAGTACTAGAATCTGTACTTTACTAAGGAAGTGTTATCCCAAACATAACATTTGTTGCGTCTGTATAAGAGTAAGTGTTGCATCATTCAGTTGCTATACAATACCCCTACCTCCACGCTTCATTATAGGTAATAAAGGACTAGTTAAACATTATACAAAGAAATTTTAGCAATTAACTGTGAGACTAACTTTTCAATTCTTTTAATTGGATGCTGTAGTTCGCCAGTACCGAAGTATGGGTTTATTGCCAGGCTTGCTGTAAGGTTGAGTCTCTAAGTGGGCTGGAAATGATTAGACCTTTTGTTAGCGATGTTCTATCTTTCTTTAAGAGGTGAGGTGAGGTGAAATGGGGTTTAACGTCGCGTCCAAGATTATTGCACTTATATAGCGACGTGCATGCACGTGTATGTATGTGTGAGGGTGCTTGTACTAGTCCGGACTAATGCCGATTTATAGTGCTAGCTCACTGAGATACCATGCCGCAGTTTAACATGAATACCCCACTCAGACACAGTATACTGACTCCGAGCCGACCAGTCCTTGTTTTAGCCCCTTAATGCTGAGCGCCAGACAGGGTAACAACAAGTACCATCTTTTAACGTCTTTTGGTATGACGCGGCCGGGGATCGAACCCCGGACCTTCCGCTCTCCGGGCGGACGCTCTACCACTAGACCACGGAGGCGGTTTTTCTTTAAGAAGTTTAGGACTGTTGCATGACGCGGAATTACAACTATAGGCACAAATAATAAAGGGCCATGGAAAGGTTAAGCCATTCCAGTCAAGTCATGGGCACTATGTGTCTGGACAGGGTGAACTGGTCATCATAAATAAGACAAACCACATGTGCAACGGGGGTAGGGTTGGGGAGGGGAGGGGAGGGGGGCGAGTGGGGAGGGAGGTGGAGACAGTGAAGTTGATGGTACTGACAGATAAGAGGTGTCATTTTACAACTAGAAACTCCGATTCCATAGAAGTAGGTTCTCCCTAATTTCCTTTGGTTTTTGCTTCTAGGCTTCGTGGCAACGAACTGAGTGTTGACTTTTGCGGATGTTTTCCACGAGTCGGTCGACCTATACTACCCCCGTAAATGTAATTGTGCCTTCACCCCTGGAAGGATGGTCAGATGACTTGTGCAGACGGCGACTAGCCCATCAATCAGCTAGATTCCAAGACGAGTAACGAACACGAGGTGTTATTGTATATAACCTTGTAACATGTTGATATTATTCAATGAACTACCGTGATAAACTCCAAAGATCAACGTATACATTAGTCACAATGATAAAAACTAGCTAGTTGTTTAACTTAACCCAGTGTTTGTTTGTTTGTTTGTTTGTTTGTTGTTTAACGCCGCACTCAGCAATGTTCCAGCTATATGACGGCGGTATGTAAATAATCAAGTCTGGATCACACAATCCAGTGATTGACATCACGAGCATCGACCAATGCAATTGGGATCGATGACATGCATCCACCAAGTCAGCGATCCTGACCACCCGATCCCGTTAGTCGCCTTTTTCGACAAGCATAGTCACCTTTTACGGCAAGCCAAAAACATACAAACAACACACACGCGCACACACACAGGCACACAGGCACACGCGCACACACACACACGCACACACATACACGTTGCTATCTCACCTTTGCTTTTCTTCTACTGTTGGTGATACGTTGTTGTACGGTGTTGCGGATATCATATGGTGAGATCACACATCGAGACAAGACGATATATGTAAAGGAGCACATACTACAGTAAACTACGGTTATAACGAACACGCTTATAACGAACTGACGGATATAACGACCTTACTTTTTTGGTCCCGACTATTTGCTGTAGTTATGCTGTATATAATCATACTTATAACGAACTACGGTTATAACGAACTAAAATAAGTAGTCCCCTTGAGTTCGTTAAAACCGTACTTTACTTTATTTGGAATGAAGTTGACTTTATCATCCTATTCTTGCTGTATGCATCAGCCATTCAAGCTAACTACATGTTTCGGATGTATCACTAGTCATTGATATTGTAGCGGAAGGTCCGGGGTTCGATCCCCGGCCGCGTCATACCAAAAGACGTTAAAAGGTGGTACTTGTTGTTACCCTGTCTGGCGCTCGGCATTAAGGGGCTAAAACAAGGACTGGTCGGCTCGGAGTCAGTATGCTGTGTCTGAGTGGGGTATTCATGTTAAACTGCGGCATGGTATCTCAGTGAGCTAGCACTATAAATCGGCATCAGTCCGGACTAGTACAAGCAGCCACACACACACACGTGCATGCACGTCGCTATATAAGTGTAATAATCTTGGACGCGACGTTAAACCCAATTCACCTCACCTCATTGATATTATAATCGGCCGCTGAACTTGTGGAACCTTCTTCTTCATGCATCGGGTGGTGTATCGTACCGCGGTATTACTATTGTTTTTCTTGTTTGTCGCTTTACGCCGAACTCAGCATTATTTCAGCCATATGACGACAGCCTGTAAATAATCAAGTCTGGACCAGACCATACAGTGATTATGAACAACGATCCGACGGACACGCCATCAACCAAGTCCTGACCACCAGAGCCACGTTATCCCCTCTTAAAACCAGCAGACGTTGCTTGGGAACTATCTCGGAATCCCCATGGGGCTGTCTTTCAGATGTAAATCCTCCTAGATGCTGTACCTGCATGTAACTGTTATGGTGCCATGGCCCTATAGCCCACCTGGATATGAAGTCAACAGTTTGAATTGTCAACAAAATGTCAATATGACATCCTTACCTTTTTGGGTCACTCAAATATGTCTGACAATAGTATGAAACAACGGCGCCATTTTCACTTGGTGCCGTAATAATAAGCTTACTTCCATTAATTAGAAGGTCATCACCACATTTTTCCAGGCTTTGTTGGAATCTTTCAGAACCTCAAAACAGTCCTGCAAAACAACATTGATCCTACAAAACAGCATACAAAACAATTTCTCATACCATCATGCCAGAATGTTTGTTTGTTTGTTTGTTGTTTAACGCTGCACTCGGCAACATCCCAGCTATTACTGAACAACAAAAGTTCCTGTGACATTGAATAAGATTTAATGCAAAGTTATGTTTTCTACCAAATCTGAAACAATTTCGGTTTGCAACAGATAAAAGACTCCTGTAAGTGTCCAATGGTTTAAATGTGTGAAGCCCATTTCTGGTGTCCCCCGCCGTGATATTGCTGGAATATTGCTAAAAGCGGCGTAAAACCATACTCACTCACTCACTCACTCAAATGGTTTAATTTGCCATACTGACTTCAGAAAATGCGTGATTTCATAACAAAACATGAACATGCCAAAATGTCGATTTACAAATCAATAGCGTGTGTGTCCACCTCTGGTTGCGATGCAAGCAACACAACTTCGTCTTATGGAATTGACCAGGCGTCGCACAAAGTCCTGTGGGATATCTGTCCATATCTGCTGGAGCATGTTTCGAACTTCCTGGAGTGTCTGTTGGTGGTTGACGTCGAAGGCGCCGATCCATCTCATCCCACATGTGCTCGATTGGTGAGAGATCAGGGGAGCGAGCCGGCCAGGGGATGACATTCACGTTGTTTTGTTGAAGAGAATCCTGAACAAGTCGAGCAATATGAGGCCGGGCGTTGTCATGTTGAAAGGTACTACCTGGGCCATGACGACGCAAAAAACGGTAGAACAACAAGGCCGATGATCTCGTCGCGGTAGCGCTGTCCATTGAGATTTCCCTCTCCCACTATCAAACGGGTCGTCTGTCTTGCTGTAATCCCACCCCATGCCATAAAGCCGCCGCCCCAGAACCGATCTTCTTCTATGACACAATGACTGACGTAACGTTCACCTCGACGTCGGTACACTCGAATCCGTCCATCGCGGTGGCTGAGGTGAAAACGAGACTCGTCAGCGAATAGAACTTGTCCTCACTGCATGGCCGTCCAGCGTAGACGCTGTCTGCACCACTGTAGACGTGCTTGACGGTGGTTTCCTGTCAAAATGGGACATCTGGTGGGGCTTCTGGCGACAATCCCTGCACGTCTGAGGCGACGACGTACGGTTTGTGAAGATATTCGTCGAAGGCCAGGGATGCTTCTTGCAGTCACTTGCTGGCTAGAATCGATTTCGTAGGTGTGTTGTTCGAATCCAGTTGTCTTGTCGAT